GGGATATGTTTTATTTGATGACAATTGTTGAACATGAGATTTGAGAATGTTTAAATGATAATCATGTTGTTGAAAAATGAAAAAATCGTTTTGAAAATTTACGTCGTTACACTAGGGGCGGACAGAATTCAAGTGGACAAACTCAAAACAATATCTAACTAGGCATGAGCACGGTTCTAGGATCTGCCCGAACTGGACCAGATCCGAAAGAACTAGAACCCATCGAAGTTGAAATGAAGAGCCATGAACCGGACCGGATTGGAACCGGAACCGGTTTTTCTATATTATAAGAACCGGGAACCGGACCACCGATTCTAGCGCCGGTTCTGGTTCCTGTCCCGGTTTTTTGGTTATTTTTCAAACTAGAGCTGGTTGAAATATTATAGATGATATGTTATCTTCCGGAGCTTATAAATGATTCAATATTTAACCAAATTATGATTATTTACATTCTAAATTGAAGTATAAATACTAAATTACATGGTGAAAAAAGAATCAAGTAATTCCGAATTCATATGAGTGAGTTATGCGCTTTTTAAAACCGGGACAAATTTACAAAAAAATGTTGAAACAGAAAATACGCAACATTGATATGTTGTCTTCCGATGTCTATAACTGATTCAATATCTAACCAAAATATGTGTTTTTATAGTCTAAAATGAAGTACAAACACCAAATTATATGCTGGAAAAATAATTAAGTAATTCCGACGTCATATGAATGAGTTATGCACATTTAAAAAAATGGGACAGATTAAAAAAAATGTTGAAATAGAGAAAACGCAGCATCGATATTCTTTCTTTCGAGGTATGTGTCTGATTAAATATCTAACCAAAATATATTTTTGTATAGTCAAAAGTGAATTACAAACTTCAAATTACATGTTGGAAAAAAAATCAAATAATTCCGACTTCATATGAGTGAGTTATGCACAATTTAAAAAACGGAAAAATTGTCAAACCGGGACCGGTTTTCATAAAAATGGAGAACCGGTAACCAGACCTTGTTACTATTGTCGGTTCAGGTTCCGGTCCGGTTCCGGTTCCGGCGGTCCTAATACTCATTCCTACCGGTGTCGGGGCCGGTTTCAAAGTCGTTATCAGCTTCATTAAATCATTTCCAGCCCATTAATTGTTTTACAACCCCACTAAGTCATTTTCAGCCCCAATTAAGTCATTTTCATCCCCATTAAGTCATTTTTCAGTCCATTAACACATTTTGGCTTCCCGATAGAACTAGAAGTGTTAGAACTGTGAATCGCATTAAGCTATTTGATGGAACCGAGAACCGTCCCATATAGTGTAAGATCGTCCAATCCGGTGTCGGTGTCGGTGCTGGTGTCGATTCATGTTCGATTCGGTTTGGACGGTCCATTTTCTCATCCCTATATCTAACTATCTTTATATTATCAATATAGTGTGATGGATATATAAATATTTTTTCTGGATAATTTTCATAAATACATATTCTTTATGATTATGTTTGTGCTTTGACTTATCTTTGTGACACGATCCCAAGCTTCGAACTTGGCAGTTTTTATAATAAGGAGACCACCCCCTTAAAGCTCAACATGCATTGGCAAGTGCTTTTTTAGCAAAATAGTCCATGACATGGAAGTACATTTTGAGATGTCAGTTTAGATGTTCTTGGTTACCATATGTCACCCATGGAGTATCACATTATCCTTGAGGGTTATATTCCACCCATGCATGGGTTGTTGGTCATTTTATGAAGTTATGGACCTAGGGTTTGATTTTGGGCTCTATTAAGCCATGCGAAAGCTTAAAGATGTCGACTTTATTAGTTAAGACCATCCCAAGCTTAAGATCTAAGAATTGGACATTTAGTCTTTAGGTATTTAGAGCTTAGAAGGTGGTTTTGGACAAAAGAGGTTTACGCAAGGCGTAACCTCTGTCTACGCGGGGTGTAACGGGTTTTGCATGTGATCTTTTTCTATGGACACCGAGTATGTATGGCGTAAAGAAGGAGTATGCATAGTGTACTCCCAAAAGTGCATCTGGGCTATTTTTGGGCCTTGGGCCATTTTTGATTTTGGGCCATGTTTAGTTGGGTCTAGTATGGGAAGGGTAAAATGCTCTTTTACCTTTAGTAAGAGAGAATAAGATTTGGACCTTTGATTTTTGGTTATTACCCTAATTCTTAATTAAGGTTGGTTTGGATGTGTTCAGTGTGAGGAGCTTGGTAGCAGCTGCGTGTGTGAGAATTCGGTTATCTTTAGATTGAGGTGAATCTCCTCATTGTATTTGCAGGTCGAAGGAACCAATGACGGACCATTGATTTATGTTTATAGGATGCTAAATGTGTATGTGACTCTTGCATGTATTGTATGTGTTTGTATGTATACCGAGCGGGGCCTGATGAATGTGTTGGGCAGGGCCCATCACATGTTACTAATAGATTTGTACCGGGCTTGGCTCATTGTATGTATGGTATGTGGTATTTTGGGGAACTCACTAAGCTTTGTGCATATGGTTCATGTTTAAAGTGTTTTCAGGTACTTAATAGAT